GAGAGGAGGAGGAGGAGGAGGAGCGGAGGCGGAGGCGGCGGAGGCTTAGACAGGAGGCGGAAGTGGCCTGTGGGTCGTGTCGTTTCTCGTTGACGCCACCCGCCTCTGCCCGGGTCGGTTCTGTCTGATGGTCAGGACTGCCTCGCTCCCTGCTGCTGCTTGCTGGCCCGCCTCTGTCTTCTCCGTTCTTTTCAGGCGTAGGAGATGGAGGAGAAGGAGGAGGAGGAGGAGGAAGAGGAGGAAGAGGAGAAGGCTGAGGAGGAGGAGGAATAAGACGAGAGGGAGCAAGGGGAGGAGGCGGAGGATGAGGATGAGGAGGAGGAGGAGGAAAAGGAGGATGAGGAGGAAGACAAGCAACAAGAAGAGGAGGACGAACAAGAGGAGGAGGAGGAGGAGGAGGAGGGATGATGATGATGCTGATGATGCTGATGCTGCTGCTGCTGCTGCTGATGATGATGATGATGATGATGATGGAGGCGGAGGAAGAGGAGTATGAGGAGTAGGAGGAGGAGGAAGAGGAGGAGGAAGGAGGAGGAGGACGAACAGGCTGAGGCGGAGGCGGAGGCGGAGGAAGAGGAGGAGGACGAGGAGGATGATGATGATGATGATGTGGAGGAGAAGGATGAGGTGGAACAGAAGGTGTGTAAACCCAACAATCAACTACGATGGTGAAGTACACCCTCTCTCCAAGATCCCTCTTCATAGGCTCCTCCAAGGGGTCATGTCCACTGAGGGAACTCCCCCGTTGGGGGGACATCCGTGTGAACATCTTGAAGCGTGCCAAACCACCATCGACAGGACTTCAACGCCACGAGTTAACCTGACTGTGACGTCTTGACGATTCCGAATCGTGCCTGACACCGTTCTTCGGACAATCCTGACTCCTTCCAGAATGCCATTGCCGATACGTTAACTATGAGAGTCAGTGAAGCTCCTGCATCTGCTTAAACGAGTGTGCGCGGCGTTAAGGCGAGAGACACATGTTTGAAACGAACCGCCCTCAACCAACCCGTGAAGCTCTTGCAATTTTTTAAAGTGGATGTGCGCGGCTCTAAGGCGAACGCCACATTATCTGTAAAACGAATGTGCGCGGCGCTGAGGCGAAAGCCACATTTTGACAACCACCCGCCTTCCATCTGTGACATTGTCTTTAATATTCAAGCATCAGGGTCATACGTTGTGAGGAAGTCAGGCAAACGCCCAGCCAGCCGTTTCGACAGGCCTGGGGGTGCGTCAGTGGGGGGGGTGTATCTGTAAGGGACAGGAATGGAGGAGGCGCAGGCGGAGGCGGGGGTGCAGGTGGAGGCGGAGGCGGAGGCGTAAGCGGAGGCGGAGGAGGAGCAACTAGGGTAGTCCCCCAATGTGGCCAGGTCTGCCGTCTCAGGTCCCACGGGGGCCCGTCGTCTGGGTTCCGCGAGGGCACCCGTCCCTGGGTCGGCGCAATCCCGTCGTTCGCGATGGGTGCGCGTCGGCTTGTACCTGCCTGGATTGGGGGCAGGCTCTGGCCACTGTTGTTGTCTGCCCGTCACGCTGCGATGTCAGGTGTAGTCAGGGGGTCGGCCAGTTGGGCACGGCTCAGAGACGTGGTCCCACCTGACCCCCGTTGGGCACGAGGGTCTGCGGGGGTGGGCCTGGTCACCCGTGTGCCTTCCGCTCCGTGTGCCCCGCACGGAGGTCCGTTGGGGGTGGCCAGTGTCCCGTGGTGCTGGAAGAGCCACGGAGGCATGGGGGCTGGTCGCTTTCGGCGGTCAGTGTTGTTCGCGGAGCAGCACGTCGTTGAGCTGGTGCCTGTATTTTTCTTTCCCCTTTCATTCCTCTTCTTCAGTTTCTTCCGCCCCGTCGGCAGCTTGGCGTCCTTGATAGCTCCTGGCAGGCGCGGGGGGTTGGCGAGTTGGCCGCCCCCACTTATAGAGCGCGGGGGACATCATCTTGCGCTGGGGCTGTGTCGAGGAGGAGGAGGAAGAAGATGATGATGAAGCGGAGGAGGGGGGGGGCGAGGAGGAGGAGGAGGAGGAGGAACGGCAGGAGGAGGAGGGGGCCGGGAGGAGGGAGGATGGAGGATGGACGATGGGGGATGGAGGATAGTGGATGGAGGGTGGGGGGTGGCCTGTTGATGGCTCTTTGGGCGCCTCTTCGAGGCCTTTTGGTGGCTTCGTTGGGCCTTTAGAGGGTACCTCTTGGGGGCTTCTCGTGATGTCTTGGGGCCATCTTGGAGGTTAGCGAATTGCAAAAACGGATGATTGCCGCCCGACAGAAATCAAAATTTGTGCCGCCACGCATGTAAACTTGTACCAAAGTGCGATTCCCCCCAATATGCCAACATTAGGCCAACGTTTGGCCATCGTTGTGTGTTCCAATGGTCCAGACCACCTTCGCCCAGAGGGCTGGTGTGATTTTGCTTGTGGCCATCGTAGTCATGTTTTTGGTCTTCGTAGCTCCGCGCGTACCCTTCGTAAGCCCGCTGGTGGTCCTGGTAGTTCTGCGAATTGCCCTCGAAGAGGTTCTGCCGGTGGCCCATCGAGTCTCTGCTGGTAGCCCTCATAGCTCGGCTGATGGCCCTCCTAGCTCTGCTGGTGGCCCTGGAAGCTCTTCTTGCGGCCCGCGTGGACTTGCATGTGCGCTGCTGGTGGCATTCGTCGCGCTGCAGGTGGTCCTTGTAGCTCTGCGCGTTGCCCGTGGGTTTTTTCCCTGCAGCTCTGGTAGACCGGCTGGTGGTTCTCGAAGCTCTGCAGGTGGTCCTCGTGGCTCTGCTTGTTGCCTTCGAAGGTGTGCTTGTGGCCCTTCGTGGTGCTCGTCGCCCTGCTGGTTGTTCTTGTACCCCTTCAGTTGGCCCTCGTGGCTTTGCGTGTTGCCCTTGAGGTTCTGCTTGTGGCCTTTGAGGTTGGTTTCCCACGATCAAAAATCATATTCCCCGGCAGGACACCCATGCTGGAGAGCTCCTCGATCATCTTCTAGTTGCGGGGTCCGTTCTGATCGCACCTCCTGTCGTCGTCTTCTGCGTCGTACTTCACCTCCTAGTGATCTTCCTTCTTCTGGTAATTTTCCTGCCGACAGTACTCCTTCGTTCCCTATTCGTCCACGTGAGAGTGAGGTAAGGCAGGGGGATGACTCTGGGATGCCTTTGGTAGCTGTAGGAAGGCCTCGAGATAGCCCTGGGTGTGGCATCCTTAGTTGTCTTTCGAATCAGGTACCCCGTACCGACGTCCGCGTTGACGAACCTGTAATTGTATGTCGGAGCGTTGACATCGATGGCGCGTATTTGGTCAGCATGTCTGGCGCAGTAGGCGCTGATGCCGTAGTCGAAGTTGGCGCGCCAAGTTTCGGCCCCATGCTGAGCATGTCGTAGTAGCTGCTCCAGTCTGCCAGTGGCTACTATGATACCTTACGGTTTATTTTTCATCGCTTCGCTCATTCCGCCGGCCCCTATTGCCTCGCCGCTATCGTTTGTCGGGGTGTTGTTGTCAATGCGGTGCGGTTGGGCGGCTGTCATTTTTCGGAGGCAGTGGGTGGCGGGTCAGAGGTCACACGAATGTTGGTTGGGCTCTTGTGGTTGGCCGCTTAGGGGCCTTTGGGACGCAGTTCTGAAGCCTCGTGGGGGCCGTGTTGGGGCCTCTTGGGGCCTCTTGGTGGCCTCTTGGGGCTTCTTGGGGTGCCTCTTGGGAGCCCATTGGGGCCTCTTGGGAGCCTCTTGGGGCCTCCTGGGGGGGCCTCTTGGGGCTGAAGACTGGACTTTGCGGTTCCTGGTCCCCTTCTAGGGCCCCTCTTGGGGCCCTCTTGGGGCGCTCTTAGGCCGTCTTGGGCGCCTCTTGGGCTGTCTTGGGGCCATCTTGGGCCGTCCGGGGCCCTCTTGGAGTCTTCGTGGGCCGTCTTGGGGTGGTCTTGGAAGCCTCTTGGGCCGTCTTGGAGCGCCGGTAAGCCGAAAAGGCGAGAACGTCAAAAACTATCAGAAAGTGAAGGAAAATTGCAAATTTCAGCCCCTGTAGGCCCTCTTGGGTAGTCTCTTGGAGGCGCCTCTCGGGGCGTCTTGAAGGCACTTTGGGCTGTCTGGATGCAATCTTTGGCGTCTTGGACTGCTCTTGGACCGTTTCGGACCATGCTGAGCTCTCTTGGAGGCCACTGGAAGCGCTCCTGGAGCGCTCTTGGGAGCCTGCTGGGACCTGGCTGGGACCTGCCCAGGACCTGCCCGGGACCTGCCCGGGATCTTGCCGGGGCTTTGCCGGGACTTGCAGGGGTACTTTTCGTCCGGGGACCCCCAGGGACGGCCCCACGCGCGCGATCTAGAAATATTGTTAACCAGTTACCGGAGATCTTAGCACGCCCTGGGCTCGTTCGGCAGGCGAATTGCAGTGCAACGCAACGCCACAATATGTGGACGTATTTCGTCGTGTTGCCCACAATACGTGTGTTGAGGTACGGCACCCATGCTGCGTGCTGCAGTGGCAATATTCAAGTCAAGTTGAGTACGGGCAACATCAAGTTCGCGTGTGCGACGTGTGCTCTCGTTGTCGGCGCTCACCTGGGCCGCGCGGCGTGCCCTCTTCCGGTCGCCTGGCGTGCGCCAGCGATCGGAAGTGCGTGCGACTTCCTGGCAAGCCATGCGTCGCAGGTGTAGGGGCAGATGGAGGGGTAAGGAGTGCGGACTGGAGTGGGGATGGGCGACAGTTGACCTGAGCCGGAATGGCTGCGGACCCTCCTGCTCTTCCTCTTCCTCCTGCTTCTCCTCCGTCGGCATCGGCAGCGCCCCTGGCAGAAACGAGGGGCCAGTTGCGGTCCCTCCCTGTCCTCCGTTTCTCCTCCCCCGTCCTCCGTTCTCCTCCCTGCCCCCTCTCCTCCCTGTCCCCCTCGTGGGCCCCCTGTCCTCCCTCCTCCCTCCTACCCCCTCCTCCCTTCTCCCCCCTCCTCTCTGCCCCCCCCCCTCCCTCGTGGGCCCCCTGTCCTCCCTCCTCCCTCCGCCCTCCCACCCCCGCTCCCCTCCCTCCCTCCCGGCCACCCCCCGCCGA